GTGCAGTGGCACAATCTCACCTCCACCTCCCAGGTTCACACCATTCTCCTGCCTCAACCTCCCGAGTAGCTGGGACTACAGGCGCCCACCACACCCGACTAATTTTTTGTATTTTTAGTAGAGACAGAGTTTTACCGTGTTGGCCAGGAAGGTCTCGATCTCCTGACCTCATGATCCACCACCCTCCGCCTCCCAAAGTGCTGGGATTACAAGTGTGAGCCACCACGCCTGGCCACCTGAAGCTGTTTTACAGTTACCTTTTTTTTTTTTTAAAATAAGTAGAAGGACGGAGTACAGTCTAAAATAATAATACTAATAGTACAATAAATACATAAACTAGTAACGTAATAATTTATTATTATCACCTATTACATACTATACATAATTGCATGTACTATACTTTTATACAACTGGAAGCACAGTAGGTTTATTTACACCAGCCTCACCACAAACACCTGAGTGATATGTTGCACGAAAACGTCCACAAGTGATAGGAATTTTTCAGCTCCACTGTAATCTTATGGGACCACCATTGTATGTGTCCATCATTGACTAAAATATTGTTACCTGGCACATGGCTGTATGTGTTCATCAGGAATATGTACACTGGTATGAACCTATAATGAGTGTGTTAAATTTCATGAAGCAAAAACTAACAGAACAAAAGAAATAAACAGATCCACAAACATAATTGGAAATCCACAATTATATCTCAGTAATTGATAGCATTTGTAGGCAAGAAACTCAGTGGTATATATAATCAGCTCTTCATATATGCACATTCAACCAATGGCAATGCACAAATACTCAGAAAAAACACACCGACAGTAAAAATACAAATTTTAAAACACAGTGTAACGTTTATATAGCATTTACACTGTATTAGGTATTATAAAAAATCTAGAGATGGTTTAAAGTATACAGAAAGGTATGTATAGGTTATATGCAAATTGTACACCATTTTATGTAACAAATTTGAGCATCTGCAGGTTTTGGTATCCACAAGGTGTCCTGGAACCAGTCCCCTGTGGATAGCAAGGGACAACTGTACAGAAGATGCGAACCAAACCAGTCAACATGACCTAATTGTTGGTTTACAGAACACTATACTCACAATTGAAAAATTACATTCTTTTCATGTACATGAACAATCCCCACGATAGACCATAGCTGGACCAGAAGTCACAATAAACTTCAAAAGATTGCCACGTTACAGGGAATGTGCGTTAGAAACCAGTAATAAGAAACCTATACTGGCCAGGTGCTGTGGCTCACGCCTGTAATCCCAGCACTTTGGGAGGCTGAGGTGGGCGGATCACGAGGTCGGGAGATCAAGACCATCCTGGCTAACACGGTGAAACCCCGTCTCTACTGAAAAAATACAAAAAATTAGCCAGGCGTGGTGGCAGGCGCCTGTAGTCCCAGCTACTCGGGAGGCTGAGGCAGTTCGAGACCAGCGTGGCCAAAACGGTGACACCCCCCCCCCAGCCTGGGCAACGAGCGAGACTCTTTCTCAAAAAAAAAAAAAAAAAAGAAATCTATACAATCCCTCAATACATAGAAATTAAATAACACACTTCTAAATCTGCAGATCATTGAATAAATAAGGGGGAAATATTTTGAACTATGAAATTTGACAGCATGTCAAAAATGGAAGGATACAGCTAAAGCAGAGTTGAGAGGAATGTTAAGTACTTAAATTAAGAAAGAAGAAATTCATAGCAGCATTATTCACAATAGCCAAGAAATAGGTACAACCCACATGTCCATCAGTGGATGAGTGGATAAACAAAATGTGATAATATGATTTGGATATTTGTTCCCTCAAAATCTCATGTGGACATGTGACCCCCAATGTTGGAGGTGGCGCTTAGTGGGACGTGTTGGATTATACGGTTGGATCTCATGAATGGCTTGGTGTCCTCCCCATGGATATGAGTTCACCCTATAGCTAGTTGTTTAAAAGAACCTGGCACCTCCTCCCTCTCCCTTTTGTTCCCTCTTGCCATGTGATATGCTAGCTCTCCCTTTGCCTTCTGCCATTTTTGTAAGCTTCCTGAGGCCTCACCAGAAGCAGATGCTGGCACTATGCTGCTTGTACAGCCTGTAGAACCATAAGCTAAATAAACCATTTTTCTTTATAAATTAC